CCCCACAGACACAATGGCTCTGACAATAAATGCAAGGCCGCAATTTTATAAAACAGGAGCTCATCGAACCTGTTACCTAGGGTGAAAAGGTACTTCATTTCCTCCGTTGAGGGGAGAATGAAGATGAACAAAGCAAAAAAATTGACATACAACACCAGGTATTCGCTGGTCGTCACCGACCCAACTACTAATCCGGCCCTCACTGGCTTATCTATGGGAGAGCGGACGGGATCCCGAGTTCTCCAGTGGGTATGGTCGTATGTGGTGGAAGAATGTGTGTAAATATCTTAAGTACCCTAGAGTGACATTGACACCCATTTCTTTGCTGTCTGGACAGATAACTCCAAGTCAGCATCTACGTGTTGCGATTGTTCGGGTCAACGCGCTGGCGGCGACTTTATGCAAGTCATATCAAAAGCTTGCATTGTTCGTGGGTGAAATCGAAATAGGCCAGAGTAGCTTTCCGATATGCGTCACCTTCTGCATGCGAGAGGCCATCGGGCTGTGACGTCGTCAAGCCCAACTATCAGCTCTCGTAGCCCCTAGCCGGTCAGGATGAAATGAAAGAAAGATAGCCATCAGGCTTCACATCTCTGCGTCCACGTGGGCTCTTGAAAGTTCGGCATTCTTCTCAATGTACCTCCTGCGACTATCGACTGGACAACGAGTGAGTTGAACCAGTAGTTCGCACATTGTCCGATGGCCGCCTTGGACATTGCTGCTGACGATACGCCAACAATACCAAACCAGCAACCATTGTGCTAGGTAGGCGTGAGGCATAGAGGCGTATTGTCACCGCAAAGCAGTTCTAGACAGACTCAGATCAAATTCAATTACGACGGTTCAGGCACCTTTCTAGAGTAGCATGCCATCCTAGGTGGAGTCTGGCCTGAACAGTTGTCACATTCCGACTTTTTTTAGAGAGTGGGGGGAGCTCTCTCTCTGTCAGCCTTGTTTCAACGACGCCTCATAAGAGAAAATACCGCGAGTCTAGTCAGGCGTTGGGAATGAACAGGCTTGAAGCCGGTATAATGCTCGTGTCGCCCGAGTTGGAACTGAGGCGGCTTCAAGATGGGGGAGGGGGGGCTGGTAGGTCCGATCACGACGTCAAGGGCGACCCTGTTCAACCCAAGTTGTCCTGACCAGAGAAGAGAAAAAAAAACCAGTTACCGATCTGGACGTGTGTCAGCTTATTCGTAGACATCTTCGAGACAAGGGGTCAAGGCCTGCCGGTTGCCCACAAAGGAGTGATTGGTGAAGAAAGTTCGTCAAGGACCGGTCAGCCAGGATACAACGTGGAAAAAACCTTGGTGCGGGTTGCTTGTGCAGGGAACTTTGCATGGGTCCAGTGGACCACTCGCATCTCTGGAATATTTGGACGGAGATCAGACGATGCGGCTGATGGAACAAGAGATCGACCGCCTTCGCCTAGTCTACATTACATTACGCTAATTGTGCTTTCTCGGGCTCTGTGCGTCCGTCTTGGGTGTTTCCGGGAAAATGACACGGATCAAGCATAGGTTTGGTTGATCGCGTCGAGCCTCCCTGAAATCGATGTGTGCGAACCATGACAGCCTACTGTATAAGGCTCTGGACGGGCCGTGTCAGAGTCCGCAACTCTGTTCGGGAACCAAGGCCACCAGCCGTGTTTTGACGCGGAAAAGGGGCTTTTGGACGGATGTATACATGCATATTTGTCTAAGCATGACTTAGGCACCACCGCTCTGTGTTGAAGGCGGTACTCAAAGCAACCAACTCGAGAGAGCGATATGCTCGCCGGAGGGGGCTGATGATGGCAGTAGTCTGTGGGGTTGCGAGCCGCGACAATTGTGAGTGATCCACAGAAGAGTTTAGCTCCCGCTAGGTACGGAGGTAGGAAAATGTTACCTTTGCGGCAGCTGGCGGCGGGGCCATTTACCTAAACGGTGTTAGAGACCTCACCGCATGCATGCCGACCTGCTTGTGGCCTGTCAACGTTTTCCTTGACACCGACATCGCGACTCGAGCCCAATGCGGCTCGCTCAGCCTGTGCATGCATAAGTAGTCGTATGCGACGCACATGAACAAATATGCGGCAAGTAGTGATGGTATGCAACCAACCAAGCCCACTGGGGATTAGATGCGGGACGCATGCTCTGAGATCCGTCCTATCCCCTATAGTGCACCCCGAACATAACAGAAACCAAGTCCTGCCTTGCGCACGTAACAGGATGCCGGACGACACGGTCGACAAAAGCTGGGCCGAGTAGCATTTTTGCTCTTCGACTGGTAGGCTGCCCCTCGTCGACATGTTGAATGTCGGCGAGGACGAATGCATAACCAATGTAAAAGCAGTATCCTCGGGCCCCGCAGGATGGATGTAGACAAAGTGTAGCAGAAGCGATCAACTCTCGTCAGGCAGGATAGGCATTCCAGCGTGCGGAGGCACGCATTGTGAGTGGGATGCCGATGACTGGGTGGTGCGGCAGATCCGGGGCTCCCTATTTGACAACAAATGCTGCAGGGATCCATCCATATGCAAAATCAGACGAGCAAATCGCATCTAGTCTATTTGCTAGCGGGTACCGGCCCGGATAACAGAATATTTCCGATTCCAGTATGGTTTATCGATGATGCTGACCTCACCTCGGTCTGGTCAAACTCAACTATAGTTGAGTCTATGAACTAGTCCGAGTTCTCATGCCGGCCCTGAATAACTTGCCTGCCTGTTGAAACCCGTGGACTGCACCGAAGTTGTTGAAAAAGGGTCCTTGGCTTGAGGGCGAGATTACACTATGCAAGCGGAGGAAACGGGTGGCCAAATCAAGTTGACATGGGATGTGTATCCTCAGATTACTGTTGTCTGCTGTTACCACCGACTGGGCCCCGAGGACGACAGTTGAGACCAGCCACTGCAACACTTGTCCTGCCGCCAAGAATATTCTGCACCTTCAACTATACATCCGTCCGCGGCATGGCTCGCGATTGGACCGTGATCCAGGTGACAGGCAAGGGAGGTGGGTGGAGGAAGCTGACCCGACTGACACGACACCCCGGGCTGCTAGTCAGGATGACACGCCACCGGTGCCGACATCCAGGAGGACCAACATTCGTATGTTGGGTATATGCTGGCAAGACTGGGGACCGAGGGTGACACTTCGGTGGAATGGGACTCACGAAGCAGGAGGCCGCGAATAGAAGTAGTTTTGACAAGACTGTCATCATCCAGTGATGCCCGGGGTACGGACGGTGAACTCAGTCGGAGACACACAGTTTGTAGTTGCAGGCGATAACTGTGAATGAAGTGTTCAATAGTCAGTTTGCTGAAGGGACAGCGACACAACGACGCTGCAGTCTCGTGCAGCCTGCTAGGTATATCGATTCCATTGCCATGCTGGCATCGTTGCCTTTGTCTAATGCCACGACAGAATGATAGGTAGTTGGGAATGAATGGGGCTCACAATCAGCATGTCATGCCCGTAGTGGGTACTGATACCGACATTATAATGAACGGCAACCTCAATCGCATTCCAGCTTGCCGGGACCTTGGGAAATTAGAATGGGATGGGCATGCAAGAATAGGAATGCGTGGGAGCGTGATTACAGGTGGGTAGGTTCCTTAGAATGGTATGCGCTTATGCGAACCCTAGTCTCGCGGTATGCATGCGGACGACAGCAATGCTCGGATTGCTTCAAACCCCGCATTGGCCATGTGGGGGCGACCCTCTTTTCAGGCCCTGCCGGGATCATGTTGCTGGAAACTGCATTGCCTTTTTGGGACATTCTTGCGAAACGTCCCTTGACTTGGACCTCCTTCCCCTTCTCTTGGTTCCATCCACGTCCAATTCCTCACACTTTTTGCACCTCACCCTGCCGTTCCTCACTCCCACCGCCTGGCTCCAAAAATGCCATGTCTTTCTCCTCCTCCTCCCTCTTCCTCTGTCTCTTGTCTGGTCGGCAGTCACTGGTCCGCCTGTCGGGCATCGACATCTCACCCTGCGCACAACCCTCGAGGTGAGGTACCTAGGGTACAAGGGGTCCTCGTCCCAAGGCGGATCGAGGGAATTGAAACATGTTCTATGCCCCACTCTCACTGTCTAGGGTTCTAAAACTCTCCTGTCCCTACCCGCTTCTCTCCTGCTGCGGATAATAGCACTGTTGCCAGTACTTGATACGCAGCAGCGTCTCCAAGAAGATGGTGTGTGCGACGTACCTGCGGTGCGGTGCTGCGCAACCATTCTTCTGGCAGCCGATCTTTTGCTATCATTCTCTATTGGAGCTGTTACGGATCGTAGTTGCTGCCGTAGATGGCTTGTCTCATCATTCCTTTCCGAACCAGTCCCGTCCTGTTTTGGCGCCTGACTTCCATGTTGGTCTTGAAAATCTCTCTTCTCTTCCATCATCTCTTCTAGTCCGTCCTTCCCCGTCAATCAGCCGCCACTTCTTCCCTGCCTTTCTGTTTATTCATCCGCAGCTTCTCCTTCTTCAACCCTCTTCTTGTTGTTGCTCTTATCCTTTGGCCGCCCGGGACTGGCCTCTGCCTTGTCTCTCCTTACCATTCCCTTGTACAGTTGTCATCATACTCCCTTGGCAGGGCCCCGTTCCCACCATTCTGCTTCCTCCATATTCAAGATCAAGTACTGTACATCTTGGTATTTGTGCCCCGTCCACACACGCACACACACACACACAAACACAAACAAATACAACCGGGTCACAACCAAGCAATCTTCTGCGTCTTACCTTGTCCCCATCTTGCAGACGGCTCCTGCGAGTTAATGTCGTTAACCCCAATCTTTGACTCAATCACATCACATCCCCTCCTCCGCCCTCGGCCAGTCCACCTTCCCCCCAACGGGGCCCCGTCCTGTTCAATCCGCCTTCTCCCTTTTGGTTTTTTCGGGTACCTCTAGTTGCTCTTCGTCCCGCAGTAGCTACGCAGCTAGTTTGGCTAACTTGCTGCTGTTTGCCACCTGGTCGATATCCAACTGTACCCGCTCGTGACATTGTCCGCAAACAGGTTAGCCCCGTCTGTCAACTGGCGGATCATGACTTCGGACCATCCCAGCTCTCTTCAACAGCGCAACACCTTCGACTTTGATGGAACCGTTGATAAGACCCTTAGTCCCCCCGCCCCCTTCAGTGCCGGTCACGAGGTCTCTTCGCCTAACTCTACCTTTCCTCAACACATTTCCTGACTCTCACCTGCTCCTCCATGTGGAAGCGCCATTTATCGGCGAATGGCTACCGCATCCTCCCTTCGCGCAGCGCCTCACAAATGGTCTCTCAACGGCCTGAGTTCCGAACTCATAGCTCTTATCTTTGAGCAGGTATGTCTTCTATATTTTTCTTGCCGGCCTTGGCCATAGCTCTTCTCACTCAATTGTTTTGCTCGGCGTCTTCTTACACTACAACCAGCTTCGGGAAATAGACGACCGCGCCCTCGCTGCCGCGCGATGCTTGTCAAGGCGCTTCGAGGCCATTGCGACCCCTATCACCTACCGTACTCTATGCCTCAATGAGCGCATCGTTGCGCTAGATGCCGACTCGCGGTATCCTAATCTCTTGTGCAACGTGTCTACCTACACCAACCATGTGATTGCACGAAGCGATCTTGACCCTGACGGCATCCGAAGGGTGCTGGACCGGATCCAACGACTGAAAACCGTACGGTGCGTCACCCCTGACTGCGTAGTTTTGACTATAGCTTGCTGAACAATGCTTGCAGGTGGCATTACGTCGACGCCGAGTTTAGATCGGGACGCCTCTGGCTTCCGTCAGATTTGCTCAATCCCCAACAAACACGGTTCAGTGGCACGAAGCTGTTTGTCGAGGATCTGCCACTGCGTGAATTCGAGGGGCAGCTGCGAGACACCTACATTCGAGCTATTCCCACAGATCTTCTAGTATCCCTCAAGCTTGCTAGTCCAGCCCCACCGCTTACGACACGATTGAACTCTCTAAAGCAGCTTCTCCTGCTGTCACGCCGTCTCGAGACATTTCACTACGAAGACCGAGGACAAGGTACTAATTTCAAGTTCGCGGAGGGAGAGCGCATGCCACCGTTAAAGGACTTGGTTTTGAAGTCCTACGACTGGAACCATTCCAAAGAGGACACTCGGCTACATTGGGACTTCACCCAACTCGAATCGCTCGACTTGATTTCGGTGCCTGTCTTCAACTTCCTGGCAGCCGTTGATTTCCCCCACCTCGCGGGGCTACGGCGGCTTCACTGCGAGGACTTCAGCGCTCACCTAGCTGACAGACGACAAGAGGCGACGGGTGGTCTTTATTTGTTGGTGGCGCATCACATCCGGGCTCTGCAGACACTGAGCGTGACCTGTCACATTCAGCTCTTCCCTTTGGATGGCATTCTCAGACATGGCACCTCCCTACAGCTACTCCGGTTTCGTGACCATGTAGGATTCGGAGATGAGGACCGACGGTGCCCGACGCTCTGGGCCGAGGATATCGCGACTTTGGCACAAGGACTGCCATTTGTGCACACGCTGGAGGTAGATATGGATGTGGCTCTATGCGACCCGACAGAGTTTCTGCGCGCCATTTGCAGCTTCCGCAGCCTGCAAACACTTATGCTCCATGTTCAGACGGTCCTTCATCCCCTCGAAGTCGTCTACCCAGGGATAGATCGCGATTACGACGCGGCCCTGCGCACTTTCCAATTCCTCCTAAGAGAGAAACAGCTTGCCACGCCCGATGTTCCGTGGAAGCAGATAACCATTAATGTAGGCGGTTGGAGGAAAGTCATGGTCCGCCGTTTCAGCACCGCCTGGCGTCAGCAGAACGAAAATGGAGTCTTCGCCGAACGGTGCTTTGTGTTGGAGAGAAACGAATACGGCCAGATGGCATTTCGAGAGGAAATGAGCGTTGAGGGACGTTCATCGACGCCAACACCCGATCCACCAACGCCGAATTTCGAGACTGAATACGAAGAGTAATGGACAAATTCGATTGTCGGGTTTGCCTTCATTGGGCACGGAGCGAGCACGAGGAAGACTGCATTGATACCACGGAAGAGCAGGGCAGGACGCAAAACCCTGCAAATCTACTAGCATATAGATTTAGAGACTGGTAATATCAGTACTCTAATCTTAATGATACCAATGATGTTAATGACCACCAATCATTTTGTATTGACATCAGCTCCTGCGAATGTGAAGACCGCAGGAATACCTACAAAAACTTCCTAACTGGCTCGTTGACATTTTCTAGATTCCAGTTTTCCTCAAAACCCGATCAGGCCTGACATCGGCCAACCCATCACGTAACAGAGTTCAACGCGAGTGACGTATTAGAACCCCGAGTAGGAGTAGGAATGGCACCAATTCCTAGAACAGCATCGTTCGCGACTTGGCCACAACGCACTGAACCGGTAGGCGACCGTGCCTGCGGTTTAATCAGAGGCAAAGCAGACAAGAAGGAGCATTACGCAAGAATCGCCCGCAGACTGGCATTTGGCAAATGCAAAGCAGATGGGCATGAATATTGATGACAGCCACTGAAAAGTCGGCAGAGCCGGCCAGCTTATTTAGCTCCTGTAGAGAGGCCAGGCACTGCAGTGCTTTATCTCAGGCCTAGCCCCGTTTGTACAAGGAAAAGACCCGATAATGAGATATGGGGACATCAAACTTCCCAACATGGTACATCGTGGCCCAAAGTGTTTCTAAATGTGGTGCAGTTTGCTAGCCAAAGGCTCATGATCTCTGGATACCAGGGACCCGCAACGCGAGGACATACTGTATGCATGATCATTTCTATCTTTGTTCCCTGGTGAAGACCAAATTCACGTGCTCTGTCCTGCTTCTTCTGTCCATATTTGTCCTATCAATAAATAAACATGCGGGTGCCTAGTAAATTGACTGCGGGATGTGATCTCACCGAGCACAGACGCTTCGCTCACCGAAGTGGAACTCGGTCAGCATCACAACTTCACCTTACACCGCACACCGAGCCAGACGAGAGGATAGAAGGGTTGGAGATGAAAATTGATAATTATATTTTTCAGCTCTATTACAATCTACCGATGTGGCTAGTCATTTCTATCCATTTACCTTAGCTTCATGATGCTGTGACGGTCGTTGACGACGTTGTAAACTCTCACGTATTGGGGTAACAGTATATTCAATTTGGATGGCAGTAAGGGCTAATAGACAAGATATGAATCATGCCAGTTTAAATTTCTCATCTACTTCCACAGCTGGAACAGAAGCCAACAGACTAAGTGGCTTGCGGCCGTTGGGACGCGTCGTATCTTCCGGAATGTCCTTTCAAAAGGGAGTACGGGTATTATGTCACGGAAGCGTGAACAATACATTATAAATCGGTATCCAGCACTGATTCGTACTGAATGTATTCTTTACTGCTCTTCCCAAAATTCATACATCATCTCGCTGACCCGTTCAACAACTAAAGCTTCTCTTGACGTCAAGAGAGGAACTATTAGCTTGCCAAGATCCGAGATAGCCAGCTCAAGGAGCTATTCGTTGCCCTTGGTGATTCAAAATTGGGGAGAGAAGGGACAACAGCAGCAAAAAGCCACACTGGAAAGAGACTGTGCTGCTCTCTGTCTTGTGAAGCATTGCGTGGCTAGTAGCCGCAGGCGCCAGGACAGTTGTGCACAAATAATAAGCAATAGAGAGCGGTAAGGAACGCCAATAGCACTGATTTGTTGTTTTCCTCGCCAGGTTTCAACAAGGTCTCACGGCGACCATTGACGCCCATATGTTAGAAGCATATTTCATTATCCATTTTTGGCTCCTGAATCATTGCGCCCAGAGTATTCAGAGAAGGCTATTGTCTGGTCCGTCCATAGGACGTGAAGATTGTGATGGCTCCGGCCGGATAGCTTCTTCTGAGCATGGTAGCTCTCGAGCCTTTGACGACTATCTCCGTCTTCAAGGATTGGATTTCGGTGCCGCAGGCATTGGTGTTGTCGTGTCGACCGCCATGCCAAGTTGTGGCCCCACACTGTGTGAAGCCTCGAGATCCCGTGACGGATCAATAGTCAATCATGGCTATTGCTTCTTCGAGCTGCAGGTTTTGAGACATTCCGTGTCCTCCGGAAAGAGACAAAGACAGAAGAATTCCCAGGCTGTCTGAACTCAGCATTCTTACACCCAGCAGGGGGTGGGAAGCTGAAGTGGATGCGCCACCCGACCGTCCCTATAGAAGGAATGACACATGATTTCCGGGAATCTGGTTGATTACCGGTAGCTTCCGCCAGAGATATTGAGATATTTTGTCAAGACATATCTCCGCCGCATTGTTGAAGTTTTCTCACCCTTATGCGCAGCCGGAAGGGCCCGTGGACGACATCCCTTCGTATCTACGATTGTACGACTGAGGAACGCCTTATTAGCCATCTGATTGCATTCCCGGCCAACACATGCAACCCTAACCCTTAGCGATATAAAGTAAAACACCATTGAAGAAATATACGTACGTCCATGTCGGTATTGCAACCAGCTTTGATATTGGCACAGCCAGGGGATCAAAGATATCAAGCGTTGCCTCTGCCTTCAATGTCCATTAGATGTACACCCTCCCTGTACCGTTGCCGTCGAAGAAAGAGGTGTAGGTAGCAGGGCAAGATCGCAACATGGTTGGGATGCTAATGGAGGCTTTTGGCTAGTTGATAGCGGCGACCTGGCCCGTCCCGTATTCCTCTTTCCTCTTTGTCTGCGCCGCGCGAATGGGTAGCGTACCCATCCATGGTGATTTGGGCCGTGTCTCTTCTTCCCGTATGGCTGTACCCGAGCCACATTTTCCGGCGCGTTAGGGCCCGAAGGGTCGGGTTTTCTGACGGAGGGAAGGCTTCGAATGACCCGGATGGCGAATGGCTTTAACCCTTGGGAGTGGGGACCTGTTCTTCTGGTTTTATCTGGGATTTCCGACTTGCCTAGCCAGCATCGTACTCGTTCTTCCAGCTGACTTGAGACGGCAAGTTACACAGCGGCGATTGAAGGCTTCTGCATCGAAATACCAGCCTTAGGAGCCGTTATCTTCGGATGTGATCTCGATGGGCTGGTATTTGTTTCAATAGCGTCGGTTCATCGGAATGTCTGCTTTGTAAACTCGGCGGGTGTCGTAATGATTTACCGTATCCCCTAAACCGCTCTTGCCCCTAATAGAAAATCAGTCTCGGTTTGAAAGATGACAGATGGAAGATGACGAGGGACATTCAATGCTGCCCAGCAATACCAAAACAATAGCCACAGAGCAGTCGAGATCGACAGCCGCAACCGTCTGCTTGCAGTCTAGAGGGAGCCATTCAAGGGAGAATACCGGTTACGGATCGAGCAACGAGGGGGGAGGCGGGGCGGCAGCTTGTCTTGAACTACCGTCAGCTTGTAACTTTGTCTCAACGCGCCATTCCATTCGATCAGATTCATCTTGATGCTCAGGCGGACGGGTATCTCCCTCCGCCCCCGTCGAAGTCGGCACTAGCCAAGACATCTACGCGTTAAACCAGGTTGAGCATCAACATTTAATCTTTAGATGTTAGCTTCGCATCTCTCAGCTATCAACTTTACATCGGATGTCCCTAGGAATGGCAGAAATGGGTAATAAGTACGAAAAACAAAACTCATGTCCGACTCAATTTTCCGACCGCACGGCAGTCAACCGTCGTGCCAACACTCTGAGCTTGAGGAATGTTCGCATAGTCAGCAGTGATTACCGGAGCTTACCTTCACCAAGGTGTCGTCATACACAGTCCTCGTTCACTTCTTATCTTGTGAGACAAGGAGCCACCCCCACTGACGCGTCTAGAGTCTGGCATCAGCTTGACGCCAGGGATATGTAGAGTTAGGAAACAACACCACAATAGCACAACTCCACTCCGTCTGTGCAGTAAAGCCGAAAGACAATAGCAGCAACATCAGTATGAAATGGAGATAGAAAGGTATGACTAGTAAGAATAAATGGTGAGAAAGGGAGGAAGCCGGCAGCAGCTTGTACGTTAACAAAAAGCTTCCTTTGATGCTTTCCCTGAGTCGAGCCTCAAAGTTTGCCTTCTTCATAAGCGTATGAATGTGGTGGACAGGGACAAAAGCTGGTGCAAAGAGCTCAACCAGGGCAGTCGACTTCCCTCCCGTTCTTAGCCAGCCAACAGACGACCTCCAGCTTTTGACCCAAGACTGCCATGTGATTATCAGCCTCCTTATCCCCCAGCGCCTGGTCCCCTTCCCTCCGCCAGGCACGCTCGTCTGCTTCATGCCTTAAACGTACCTGAAAGAACGTCCTTTCCACAGAAGCACAGTCCTTTCAGCCAGCCTGGAAGCCATAAGGTCTCTTCCTCACACCGCACGGGAAAGTCATGCTGCATACTTCATAGCGCCGTCATGTTCAGTTGGGTGGGCACCACACCATCCCTTTCCTCTGTTTTCCCACACCTATACCCCTCTTGGAATCCGCCCATTTTTACGCCCTGCTACTGTCTTTTCCCTGGTGCACCATCTGACCTTCAAACTCGTCTGCCCACCTCGGTTTCCGCCTCATCAGCGCCTTCTGCTGCCTGGGCAGCCTTTGCCACCTTCGAGACCCTGAGAGTGGCACAAACCGAAGGACAAACCTAATGGTACAAAACCGCACAGTTCACAGATCGTCTTCCCGCACGTCAGATTGCCGGCTTGTCCTGGTACATGTCTTCATACATGGCGGACGGGCGCTGGTGGCCGCATAACGTCAAAAACCATGTGACAATTTCCGAACCAGCTTTGCAAACTCTCAGGCTACCCGCTTACAAGGCGTACCATTGTCGCCCACACCCGTAACCGGATGCACCCTGGCGGACTCAAGCGTATCGATTGAGATAGGACTCGAACGGACGTGCCTAAGCCAGATTTGCTGCATGTCAGAATGTACTATGTGGCCTGGAGCCCGAGTTGAGGATTCCAAGGCTCTATTGTTCACACCCCAAGTCCCGCTCGTTTCCAGGTCTTTGAATAGGGACATTCCCTTCTCACCTCCGTCTGCCTCGGCGGCTCCGGGTCATCGATGCTGGCTGTAGTTGCTTTGTACCTTTTGCCTCGAGGGAAGTAGAGGTACCTCGCCATGGCAAGATCCACCAATTTTTCACATCCCCCTTCCCTGTCATACTCTTCCGCCTGTATGTGTGTGTGTGTGTGTGTGTGTGTGTCTAGACGCTCTGCGATAACCCACTCGGTGCATTCCTTTCCCTTCAAGATTCCATGTCCTCTCCGCTTTTCTGTCCCTCCCTCTCCCTGTCCTCTCGGACTTTGCTCACCGTCTATCTCAATGTCACCGTTCAGGCTTAACCCCTCCCTCCGGAAACAGAGTCACCAAACACCACATTCTATGAGAGCTAGGAACAGTCCATCAGATCACATGATGTCACTCAAACCACCCCATTCCGAAAGATAGCGCGCCTCGATCGGACTTTGGCTTCCTACCCACCTTTTGTGTCTTTGTCTTGTTAGCAGTTTGCCAGGCCCGGCACCGCGCCGCCATCATTCCAGCTGTTCCTGGAGCTTGGTGATCGTCCGCTATGTTATTGCTTCTCTCTAGGCCCCATCTCCCCTTTGTTTTGCCGCGGCTGGCTGGTAAACCCCTCTCTACTCGCGCATTGAACTTGACCCGAAAGAGATTGCGAATGCTTCGCGAATGCAGTGCCCTCCACATTGCGAGTCTCGCGCCATGAACATCCTTTCTAACGAAGCCTAGACGTTCTAATCTGGAGCCCCTATGCCTCATCCAGAAGCCTACTTTCGCAGCGCTAATCCGATAGTCTACATGCACACCACTTCCTCTTCCTCCCCTAGTGAAAGGAAAGACGAAAAGGTAGCCGTCCACATCTCCTGCATTACTGGCGGTGTACCTGTTCATTATATATTCTTGTACTTATGTGGTCAGTGAATCCGACTTCTTAAAGGTGTCTGTCACAAACTTGGAAAACTACAACAGACCAACCGGAACTGCAGATCACAGTCTGTAGGAGTTTTATGCATCAGGCCACGGCCGGGGACTGAGTTGCTTCATTCTTTCTCGTGGCCCGTATTTTCATAGCTGATCGGTTCACCGCGCGCATCGCTCCCGGCCCCATCCACGGCTGCCACCATTGCGAGCAGGTAACTCTTGTCGTAGCCGGCCGCTCTGCCGGTCTCTCGAGACAAGGGACTTGGGAAGCTGGTGTAGTTAGGGGCCTCTGCATTGCAGTGTGCTCCCTGTCTTGCGCTCATGGTGTGTTACATAGTAGGCTCATCGCTCACTCTCTCCGCCTCCTCCATCCAATGTCGGGCAAGCCCGACAGCCCAAAACCCCTAGCGCAACTGCAAAGAGTCGCCATTATGCGTTCTTGGACTCACCGTTGAGAAGCGGCCGCAAAGATACTTGTAAAGTTGTAACGGAATTACACGCTTACAAGCGAGCACACTGACCAAGGATCTCATACCAATTGCCTCAGCACACGCTTCGACCTCTCCTGACTTGCACTCGTCAAGCACAGACTTGTGTGAGTACATAGTAGTAAGAAGCCAACAGGGAACCGCCGTCCCTAGACAGCGTCAGCCCATGGGCACCGCTGTAAGCGCTCTTGTACTCGTTCTTCTTCTTCTGATATTGTTGTTGTTGTTGTTGTTGTTGTTGTTGTTGTTGTTGTTGTTGCTGTTCATGACAGGCATACGCTTGCTGTACTGTGCCTTTCTCCACAAGTACATGCGCGACGAGGCACTGTTCAGCTGGCCGTGGTAGACTCCCCGTTTCTCTTGGCTAGACTCGGGGGCTTTTTGCGTGTACGAGTGTGTAATCGATGACATGTGGTGTGTGTGTGCGACTCGAGTATATACCTGGTCGGTTCTTCGGTCCACAGTGCTTAACGTCGCCGAACGGACTCCTTCCTCCCTTGCCCTTCCTCTACCCCCCCTTGCCTTGGCGTGCTCGCGCGGCTTGCTTGACCAGGATCAACCCAATGCTGGGTCCCCATGAGCGTTGATTGCGAAGAGGGGGGGGTAACTGAGACCCGGACACCATGGATGGATGGTTCATCACCTCCTCTCGTTTGTTGGCTCGCTGAGGAGTGGGAGAAGAGAGGAGGGAGAGAGCGAGCGAGCGAACGAGGACCAGGACTAGCGTTAAGGGTTCCGAAATGCTTTCATTAAATCGCCCCTCGAGCCTCGTCCACCCCCAAATGTACCTGGCTTGACCCGGCTCGCCTCGATGCGCCTGTTCGCTTTCTCCTCCTTTCTCCTCCTTTCTCCTTCTCCCCCTCCGTCCTCTCCTGCTCGTCGTCCTTCTGTACACCACTGTCTTCACCGCACGCACATAACGCAATACACATCGTGGGGTGGAATAATCGGTACATGGTTTTGGTGGGCCTGTAAAATTTGGAACACGCGAATTCAACCGGCTTATTTAGTTTACTATGATTTATTTGTTCATTGCTATTAAATCAATTACTCCATCTCTTTGTCTCCTCTCGAGCGGAAAGCTCATCTTTATTTCTCCTTCCTTTGTCCTGGGAACTCTGCTGCGGAACTATACTTTGCATGGCAATAGTAAGACACTGGAGCCAGGATAAGGCAAGGAGGGAGGGTGTGTGAGGGAGAGGCGAGTGACAAGTTTGCATGTCTCCGCCGGCCGTTGGCCGAAGAAAGGAGGGGGGGAGGGGGTACAGAATCAAGGGAGACGGGATCCCTTGGCCTACTATGAGCGATGAGCGACAAAGGAAGAGAGAAAAAGAGGGAGAGAGAGGGACATGGAGGAGGGGTTAGAGGGGATTAAAAAAATAAAAATAAAAAAGAGGAGAAGGTGAGAGTGAACAGCAAAGCCACAAGGCTTCGTTCGCTCCCTCAGACCGCACATACGCCCGCCCGCCCGCCCACCCACCACGCCGCGTCACGCCGCGACTATCTCTTCTCATACCCTCTGTATCCCGCTAAGACGGACGGGTAACGGGAGGCATTGGCTTGGATGACAAAAGGGGCGGGGGGTGGGGGGATGGGTTCAGGTTGCCATGAGGCAACTCCCGGAACTTGACAGCATCGGTCCGGTCCCCAACCTTGACTTGACTTTGGGGTTTGGCGGCCGGCAGGCCGTCCTCCCGCCCGTGGCTTCCTTCCCCCTTTCCTTTCCCTCCCTTTCTGTTCTTAGGATCGGGCAGTAAGAGCCCCCCTTCCCCCCTTTATGTCTTTTCTCCTCTGAAAGGGCGCAACAAAGGAGGATGAATTTTTGAAGTAAACATGAACAAAAGGAAAGAAAAAGATTAAGAAAAAAAAAAACTCTGAAAAAAAAGGGGGATCGAAATATGTTCCAAGCGGCACGTGTGGAATGGTTTTATGCTTGCCGCAACAGAATGTTTCGTCATACACGCACGTGTTGCGAGGTGGCTGGGTAATATGATCTCGAGAACAATGGGTGCTAGGTCTTGACAAAATAACATGTCGTGGTGATATATGGTATATAAATGTTGAGAGAAGACGCACGAAAGCATGGAAAAACAATAGGTAAAGAAAAAGCACATTTGGCAGAAGATATGCTGGCATTGACGGGATTTGGGCTTTCATGTTGGCTCTGTTGAAATAAATATGTGAATAAATAAAAAGTGCTAGTAGAAGGCTATGATGCTACGCTTCAACGAACACGTTCCCACTGTCTTCGGTGACACCTCTTCCATCCCGTTCGATACAGTCCACTCCGCCTTTCTGGTGATGCTTCGCCCGTGCGTTTTGAAGTCCCCCCTTCCCCCGTATTTGTTTGTCTAGGAACCAACCTGCTTCTGAGGGGGAAAAGAGAGAGAAGAATTTGATATTCTGTGACCCTCGCGATGCCATTGGAAGCGAGGGAAATAATAGAGGAATGAACACAGAAACTGCTGCAAACGCGCAAATGGGAATGGAAATATCATCTCTGCCGCCCAACCCTTTGGATTCGTCCGCTTGCGCGATCTGCTTCGCCGTCATAAGAACTTCTTCTTATAAGTGGGGGGTACTAGTATAAAAAAGAAGGGCAAAAACAAGTTGAATATGGCCGGCCCACTTCCAGCTACATGGAAAGAAACAACGCACAGGCAAATGTCGGTAGCAACAAACGAAAAACCAAGAGAACCACAAAAGACCAGATCAGCGAAACATAAAACAGACGTATGCCGTGAGGCAAACCATTCTTGACCCTTTCCGTTCCTTTGCGGGAAATGACTGTGTACGAAAAAAACGAGCCACGAAAACAAAAATGAGGTAGGCGCAACAAAAACCAGGTTCCCGGTTGCCGGAAAACCCGCATGGTATGCTCAAGCAGAAGACCTCCCACCCTTTCCCCAACCCCTCTCCCAGCAGCAAACACCTAGCAAGAAGGCAAAAACCAAGACGATGCTGACCATGTTGTTTTGTGGTTGGTCCCGGAAGACGTTCTCGCCGACTTTTATAAAAGAAAACCCCTCCCTTGCTCCAAAAGCGCATGCTCCGGTCAAAAATCCATACGCGTTTCCATGATTTTTGTGTGGGACCTAGAATCATGTACAATTCCTTTGTTACCGCTGCCCGTAGTAGCAGACATGATCCTGAGGATCGAGCCAAGAGCGAGGTTTCCATGGTGCCGCCGAGTCTCCTAGCGTGCAGAGAGAGCCCTGCCTGCGGATTCGGCACCCCCACCTCACCACCACCCCGCCCCCCCTTCTTCCTGCGTAGGAATGAGGGTGTTCGGACATCCGCGTATATTAAGGCGTTGCTAAAAACAGTAATCGACTGCGCAAGTTATTTCCTCTGGCTTCCCGGGGGGCCTCGATTTAGCCTTCCAAGCATGTTCCTATCTATGTCGTTGGGGTTCGTGTCGACCAAGTTGTTCAGGCTCATGACAGAGCTGGATGAGGCTGCAGGAGTCGACGAGTTGCTTTGCCGCTGTGTTGCGGCTGCGGCTCGCTCATCCACGGTTTGCGGCGGAACCGCAGCTGCCGCCTGTCCAGGGCTGTGTCTTGGCGGGGGTCCTCTGGCGTCGTAGCCACCGGACCCGGCAGGTGGGTAGGTCATATAACCGCCTGGACTGCTGTGGTTCGAACTTGATGCTGGTGAGCGACGTCGAGGATCCTCTGAAGAGTTCGGATCAGGTGGTGGGGGTCTCAGTTCGTCCACATCGTCATCTCTCGGTCGCCGCCTTCCCGCACGTTGCGCATCGTACGGGGAATAGCCACCCGTCGGGGACGGCAGGGGCTGTTGATAGTACCCGTTGCCGGGTTGAGCGGGGTAACCCTGAGCGGATGGCGGAGGCAATGAACCCGGGGGCAAAGAGCCCGGGGGCAAAGGTTGTCCGTAGGCTCCATAGAGCGGCGTGCCCGGCGGAACGCCACCTTGGATCGCGGATACGGGAACAAAAGCTGTCGAGCTAGACGAAGAGACAGGCTGAAAAATGCATTCCTGGTTCATCCTGCTGCAGTTGACGCATTTGCCGCCCGGAGCGCTCTGATAACCGCTGCAACGAATCTTGAAAGATTTCCGAATTAGCTTCACAACGCGATTTGAATGGTTCCCCGCTCAAAGACGTACTTTTCTCTTCCTGCAGTACCTGCAAGCAATAGATGTGCGCTGCCGAGGCGCAGCTTGCTGCATAGCAGGTCCTCCCGGGCCGTAGTCGTACCGGGGCGCGCCTGGCGGATAATCGTACCGTGGCCCACCCGGGCCGGGAGGAGGGTAGTCAGGATAGCGACCTGGAGGCGGCGGGCCTTGGCGGCTGTGGTAGTCTTGGTAGTAGGGGTCGCCGCCATACTGCGGCGGCGGAGGAGGCGGCTGGCGACTCCTGTAGTAGTCGTCCCTCGCGTCTGGTGGAGGAGGGTAGGAGGGAGATCTTGGGTCTCCTGGGGGCTGCAGCGGCGGCAGTTGAGGGGGGTGACCGCCTGGTTGCGGAGGCGGGTAGCCGTTCACGGAATTGGGCGATGCGCTGTAGTTGCTGCCGCGAGGGTCGGCGCGCGGATCCCCTCGGGGGTCGGGAGGGTATGACCTTGGGTATGCGGGCTGGCCATAGGCTCCGTGGGGATCCTGGATGGAGGGTAGTGTCACTGGTGCGGCCATGTTGGGTCTTTGATGTCTGTCGTCGGGGTATCTTGGGTCTTCGTGTGCTCCCACGGGAGGAAGTCGGTGACGTGCTTCGTCTTCTCGGTCGTGGATGGACAGGTCTTCTCTGTGTATAGAAGGCGGCCCTCGTCCTTGCTCCTCTGCCATGCTCTGGTTGCGGCAAGTCCACCCGGGCGCCGCGTCTGGACCTGTCCTCTCGTCGCCTCGCGATTTTATCGTAGTGGTGGGGCAATTGCTATCTTGTTTTTTTTTTGGGGGGGGGGGGAGGGCAGTGTGTAGCGTGAAGCCCGAGTATATTTTGATGGCCAACACGCGCGCGTCGGCTATCCGTCAAACCCTGTTATCAGAAAAGCCCGTCGAAATGCGGGGAGGGCAAGAATCATGACCAAGTGGGCTGCGACGGAGAGACAAGGGCGCAGTCAGTCGGTTGATAGACTTTGGGACACCCAGAGACGCAGGAAGGTGTGGCGGGGGGAGTCGCTACTTAGTAGGAGCTGCCGTATAAGCCGTCAGAAGGAGCGAGCGCAAAGGAAGAGGGGGAAGACTGAGGTGCGCAGGGCGCCCACAACGCCAAGGTGCGATAAGATGCGATAGTTGGGGTGGCAGTTGCGCCGCGCAGGCGGTGTGGCTGGAATGATTAATTTAAATGCGAAGGCGAATCTGGCAATGATCCGATCTCCAGGATGATGGCAGGTGCGCAAAGGTGAGCGATAGCGTCGTCGATTGACGTTATTGCGATGTCGCCGTCGTGGAATGGAGGTGAGGTCAGGTCTGGCTCATCCAAGCGAGGAAATTGGTGGTGAGCTCGGTGAGTCGAGTCGCGTGGTGGTTGTGTGCCAGTGTAAGGTTGAATGAGAGATGTGGCGGCGGTGATGTCGGTGACGGCAGTTGCTGATTCAACTTCCCTCTTGCGGTGACAGGAGAGGAGATGGGAAAAAGAAAGAAGAAACCCCCCTCCAAGTCGAGGAGGTAGCGATGCTCGATGGGAAGGAGGATGGATGGAAGTTGTGGCCGATCGGCGGATTGGGTCGAAGAAACCAAGTAAGGGCACACCTCGGAAAAGGTCAAAGTAGAGGGAAGGGGGTAGGAGAAGGACTGAGGTAAGGCCGGCAAGGTAAGGCAGGCGCAAGGCGGGTAATGTAATGTAAAAAGGTAGGTCCCAGGTGGTGGAGTGGAAGGAGAGGGATTGTGCCAGAGATGTATGTAAGAAGGGAAAGAAGCACACTGAGATAGAAGTATCCGTCGACGAGCGTGTGAGTGAGTACCTTGGTCCTTGGTCTTTTGGGCCCGTCCGTACCTTTGGACTTGGATGAGCAAGCATGGCATGGAGCGGTGCGGTGCGGTACGGGGGTAGGGGTAAAGAAGCGGTACCATGCCGGGGCAGGCAGGGATTGTGCAAGAGTCGGAGAGGCGTGTGTTGTGAAGAAGGGGGGCTAGAAGGAGAGAGCGAGCGAGACTGGGGAGGCGCCAAAGCTGCAAGGTGGGCAGTGTGGAACCCAAAAGGTACTTGTGCACCATGGCGGTACTACAGCTAAGTAGCTTGGACACCCCATATACGTACCGCATCTCCACCTTTGAGGTGTGGGGTTCGCGGCCCAGGGGTGTGGGAAGAGGATGAAGAACAGGGATGAGCGATGGCAGTCTGGCAAATGATGGGACGTGGAAGGGGGTAGCCAGCCAGCACCACGAGTACAAGTACCTGCCAAGGTACCTACCTAGATCAGGTACTGTACAGTATAGTACAGCATAGTGAAGTGCAGTGCAGGATAGGGCAGGGCAGGGCAGGTTGATTGAACCGGCGATGGAGAACACAAGCAAAGCAGGAAGGAAATGACAAGAGACAAACAGAGAGCCGGACAGACAGACAGACAGACAGAACAACCAACAGACAAGAATTATAGTCACGCTGCCATACGAGTACACACCCGCCGCATACCGCACACCACACACCCGCAAGGCGCAAGGCGCACGCCAGATGTCAGACGCCGGGACGCCGGGGGGCCCAGTTGAGTGGTGAGGTGTGGTAAGGCAAGGAAGGTACCGTACCGAACCGCACCGTACCGTCCTTGACCGTTCCGTCGTTTTCCAAGGTAGGTATCGAAAGCGGTGCAAGCCAGGCAATGCATGGTCGGCGTCGCTTAGTTAACGGGTCAAGGGGAGCGACAACATTTGCTTCTTCCCGAGGGGTCCTTGCTGGGTCAGCTGGCTGAGAGATCCCCCCCCCGACAGAACTCGAACCAATGCCGCGCGCCTGGTCTGTCTCTTTGTTGGACGGAGGACGAATGGAAAAGGTGGGAAAACCAACTATGCCCGTTGTCTGCGCGTGGTTTTCTCGTATACCTTGCCTCAAGACTGGTGGCAGTTGTCGCTTGTTTATCCTTGATCGCGTCGTCCTGCTCCCGTCTTGGCTCGCGGTTCGTGTACCAGTACCGTGTGCAAAGGATGGGCGGCTGTATGCGAGGTGGAGGTATAATAGGCAGCGTTGTACGAGAAAGGCCCAAAGCAAAAATGTTACAAGGTAGCAGTTGGGCTGGTTGGCTGGTAGCCGTGCTTCCTGCGTAGGTTAGGAAATCCTCTACCCAGTTGGCCAGCCAGACAAGACGAGACGGGATGGGATGGGATGGGATGAGATTAGGGAGGGGCGCGTAAACACACACACACGCACACATACATACCGGTACAGGGTTAAGATCTAACCGGGTAGGTAGTCAGGTACCTACGACGTTATTTAAGCAGCAGGCCGTCTGCACCAGGGCAGACAAGGCAACGGCAAGGTACGGACTTGGTGGTGATGATGGGCATCATGATGAGACGGTGACGGGGATGGCCGAGATCAACTACCTAGAACAACTACCTAGAACGAGATGGTCAGCGGGGGTGGGGGTGTGGTTGGTTGGTTGGTACATTGCGAAAGTACGAAGTACACTACCTACCTCGGTTCGAGGAAAGAAGCAGGGTCAGGAACGTGTTCAAAGATACAGGACACAGCTGCAGCATGGAGTCCGAATTGTTTTGGTGAACCGTGACGGTGGTAACGCGCCATCATGGATGGCATGGCCGAAACTAACCAAACTCGTGACCAACGACCATTCATTACTTTTTTCTCCGGCTCCGCAACCCTTGCGTTGCGCTCCTTTCTGCTCAACCTACCTACCTACCCACCTGCAGTTGGGTGCTACACTGCACCTGCTGCACCCGCGACCACAACCGGCACCTTCCTCCCTCTTTGCATCTGCAGGCTGCACCATATGGAAATGGGAGTTTGCTATCCATAACCTACCTACCTATCTAGCTAAGTGGCTACCTATAGTACCCCTACTATCTACACCCCGCATACACACACACCGTCTCCCTCTTCTGTCCCTTTCTCCTCTCTGCCTCTTGCTCACCCTCCTTCACTCTCTTTCTCTCTACAACCCCAACCCCCCTCCGGTCTCCGGTCTCCGGTCTCCCGTTCCCCTTCCCTGGCCTTAAAAGTGTGGATGATGCTTGTAACAAAAGGTGGGGACGAATGGGAATGGCACGGCGGGCGGATGATGTCGCACCGCCCAATGGCAATGGGTGACTTTGACCATGGACGGGAGCATCCTCTCTCCCTTGCCCCTTGATCCCCATGGTTTTGGGGGATTATCGCTTCCAATAACTCCAGCGCTGCCGTCGCCAACTGGGGGTTTGCCTGCACCGAGAAGTACCCCGTTGGCCGTCTACTGTATAGTGTACGTGGCAGAAACGGTGCTAATGGCAGTTTGCCCTGCCTGACCTGAGCTAACCATTGCAGTTAGAGAGCGGGAGCCATTCGTTGCCCGTACGCTGACTGCCACAGCAACGACCCGAGCACGGGACTGGATGGAGCTGGAGAAGCCTGGTGCTCACACAGACTGTGCCTTCGTAGGTAGACTGTACGGATAGGTGGTTTCCAAGACACGGATCGCGGGATAGGTACCATTGGCCGGGTGGAAGGGAAACGGCCGGGCATTAGTGTAGGCCCTTTGCTCCCTTCCTTTTGTGCAACGTCAGCTACGCAGCCGACTCGGCGCCGCCTAGGTTCGGCCAGTCCAAGTCCAGTCAAGCCACACACACACATACACACTTACCAGAATAGACCAACCAACCCGAGACAATAGCTGCCTTGCCCTTTGCTCCCTTCCGCTTACTTCAAGTTGTGGGCATCCCTCTTGCTTCCATTGCCCCCTTTTTTCTCCTTCCCTAATCGAAGGGGAGGCACACATGCTTTGGGCAAACAATGAATGTGGGCTCGGTGGAACCATGTGTTTTTACCTTCGTTTGCCTCTCGGCACCCCTAACCGCGCGCCGTCATGAATGACCAAGGCTGCTGCCCTCTTGCGCCATTGTTCATCGTCACGTATGCCTGATGAGCCGAAGAGATGGTTTGCAAGTTGTACCGGGAAACATCGTGGGCCGTAACGCACACCAGATCTGTTTGGTGCAAATCCACGGCTGGTATTAGGAAGAGATAAGCGCCATGTCGTGGCTGCGCGTTCTGCAGCAGACGGCGGAGAGCAATCAAGATGGAGTACTAGTGGATGGCAACAGGTAGAGCGCGCTCCATCCTTTTCCACCTCCCCCTCTCCCTTGGTCATGACATGGCTCCGGCCCACGCGCCGGATCTTTCGAATCTGACAGCCTCGTGAGAAAGACGAGCCAGGGTCCAGGGCCCACGACGGCAACAGAAAGACAAAAAGAGAACAAAGGAGTTAATTGCTTCGTACCTGCCGTTGGTGGGCGGCTTGTTCCCGAGAAAGGAAAGCATAAAAAAAAAAAATTTTAAAAAAAAAAAGAGAGTACCCGCCCGTGCAGGCCTTTTTGCTCTTTTTGCTCTTGGGTTGTACGTACCACGGCAGGTGCGCCGACGAGCCAAATCAATCCTTTCAAGAACGGGCCGCTGAGGCGAGCGAGGCCTAGCGCTTTTCGTTGAGACTGGTTGCCGTAAGGCGGGCGGGCGGCTACTTAACGGTACATCGAGATCCGGTATCTCGGACGAAGTGATATATCGCTCTAGGAAATTGTCAGCCGGACCTTTCGCCCTCTTGTTGCGCTGTGTGGTGTGGAATTAATCGAGGTGTAAGTGGCTGAAAGCTGCTGTAACACGTGGTTGGACTGTGCGTCAGCGTGCCATCTGGCACTCGTTTACACAGGTGTGCTGTACTGTTTGGGCTTGTTCTTACGGCAGGCAGGCCTCAAGTGGCCGCCACGTCTAAGGGGGGCAGTTTCCGAACTCATCCCTCTGGCTCTGGCTCTGGCTCTGGCCCTGTCTGTCTGTCTTAGGCACCGGTGCCGCATGCCCTGTCAGATTCCCCCAAAACACGGTACCTTAGGTACGGCCCTGGCCGGTGTCGTCTGTGGGTGCGAGGTCGCGCAGTGCCTTGCTTGCAATGATGTGGCGGCCGAGGTGGAGTGCGGCCCCAAACAGGGAAAACGTGCGCCTTGGCTTGATTGGTCACGCCTAGTCCCGTGCCCGAACCCACCAGCCCGGGAGGTGGTCGCAGATCTGGCCGCAGACAGGGCGAGAGGTGTGCCGGAGACCATCCATGTAGCTTGGAACCCGTCACTAATTACCTAACTCGTGGTGAACAATAGCGCCCGCGGCCACTGCGCAGTTGCCGCCGCTGTTGGTTGCTGCCGTTGGGCTTGGTTTCGCCCACAATCCTCTCCCTCAGCATCAGACTGACGGCATTTGCTTGTCAACCATCGGCTCACGTCTAGGTACTCTGCACCACGTACTAAGAGATTTCTGACGACCTGGTTCGAGGCACGATGCCGCGTCCACATCTCGTTGCGTGCGAGTCGGTTGACAGACGTCTGCAGGGAGAAGAACACGGAGGAGCCTGCACCCCTTGCCTGTGTCTGAACCGCCGCCTCCGGGCCTTCCTTTGATGCAAACTAGATCCCGCGTCGTGTACTACCTACACTGCTGGTGTCTCAGAGCGGGACGCCCCTTGCCCCCTCCATTTCTGTGCGCCCGCACTCCGGGGGGTTGGAGCGTAAATAGATGGGAAGGGGGAGAAAACAAAAACAAAAAAGAGAAGAACAAAGATGCTGTGAGCTCGAATTTACGGCGACAAGATCACTCTTCTCCAGAGGTAGAGGGGCGCGGCTTAGTAGTGGCATTCTCGGGGATGGTGATTTGGACACCGACGGGCGTTTCTGTCCATCATCTGGTTAGGGAACGAGCCAAGTCGGGCCGAGCCCTAGCCAGAGCCGCGTTGGGTCGCTTGGGAAGACTGGGCTAAAGTAGTTCGGGCAACAAGCAGAAGGCCCTGCCCAACCCATGGGAAGCGCACGCAGATGAAACTTTGCTTTGTGTGCGTACCTCTGTGGCGCGGATCTTGCCGTAGTGTACACCAGAATGCCCGACGGGAAGTGTGTGTGCATTGCAAACCGGGGGTCTCTCTGTCTTTATAATTAACCCTGTGTTTCGTCGCGTAAGAGGCCGGACGGCAGCGGCTCGGAGATGAAGCCTCGCACTAGATGATGGCTCAAGCAATCGAGGCAAGCATCCAGAACGAGTAGCCAAGCAGGTTCCCAGCCTGATGATGGTCTGTCTGACTGACTGGGAATCCTGACCGCAGGATGACCCAAGTTAGTGTACAAAATGCAAGACGCGGCTTGTTGTCCAGACCAGGACATCGATTCGTAACTGCTCATGGTAGGTACGTACCGACAAGAGTGTTCCAGCCTGCCACCCCGTCTGGGCGTCCAGCGCGCGCCGTGGTGTGTTCGTACGTGTACATAACCAGCCACGTACATAACGTCAGTCGACCCCCCTGTCAGGCTCGTGGGTGCGTCGCAGTGCCCTGTGGTCCTGTGATGTCGTCTCCCTGCGCCTTGCTGCCCCTCACTTGTTTGTAGTCAGCAACGGAATGGACCAACGGGCCTTGCCCCATCCACTCGGGTAGACTGAACGCTGAGGAATCGATGTGTAAGGCGACATGCGTCGTGGGGCTGGTGTCGCCAAGTGCGCGTTCGTGCGTGAGAAACGGACATTGAAGAGGATTTCAGGCGGCCCAGAAGCCCCTCTCGCCCTCGCCAAACCCCCAGCCCTTCAGTTAATCTGGCCCTAGTCGGTTGCACCACCTCCACAAGGCCCGGGACGGGAAATCTACGATGATCTGGTTTCGGAAAGCCGAGGCGACGTACGGACAGGACTGTGCAGCTTGCCGTCGTGTACTTGGAAGATTGCCATGTATAGATATCTGGTAGAAATCAGATCGTGTATGCTTAGCGTCAATGGCAGGTCGCGCTGTGATAGAGCTTGGCTCTACCGATAAGATGCATGCTCCTTCAAGCCTGCCGAGTTTGGCATCATTGGAGAAGTCTGGTGACGACATGAGGGTCCCTGATGATATATCTATCGCATTGTGGCGATGGGCCGACAAACCGCTCTCGACGTAGTATTGTACAAACGGACTCCGAGCTATCGTGCCGGCAGCGAGCTCTGCGCATCCGCGGTTCCATTCGCCAGCGATCAAAGACGAAATGGAGTCACGATCATGCTGGATGTCGTCGTGTGCCTACCTCGCCTTCGGCGGTTGGTTGCTCTACGTAGTAATTGATTTGAATATTCGCTTTCGCTTTTGACCCACTGCTCTCTCTCTCTCTCTCTCTCTCTCTCTCTCTCTCTCTCTCTCTCTCTCTCTCTCTCTCTCTCTCTCTGTGCACGTTTCCGGCGGCAATCATGGCAATACTACGGATACTAGAGAACTCGTCAGCAAAGCTCAGGGGTCAACAGCCAGGGAGGGCCCTCTCCATACCAGGTAGCTGGCTAGGTGGCCAGCTTACTCAGCAATATGGCCCGGGTACGCTCTCCTGAATTCTGCCTGGGCCCATGTTACTTCCATACCGCGTGCGGATGGAGCCATGTCTTTCTTCCCATGATGCCTGCCTGCCTGCCTGCCTGCCTTCCCACCCCCCGGTCTGTCTGCCCTTGCTGGCTCGCCCGTACCCAGGTGGCCGCCCATGATGCCTGGGGGTGGCCCAGGACTGGGACGGGAACTGGTGGTAATCTGACAGCGACAAGGTGAGCCGTTCCTCCCTCCCCCAAGGTGTCTGTGGGGTAGGGATAAGGTGGGTGGAACCACGCGGCCGACATGAAATGGCCCGAGGATTCCTAGCATGACAGGCTGCTGGAACAGATTGGCTAGTTATCGGGAGGTGTCAACAGCTCTGAAATCGGGCTCCGAACCACCACCTACCTACGGTACTTGCATGAGCGGAGACCCCTGTTGTATCTCAATTCGGTAGCAACAAGGTAGGTACTTCCGCAGTAGGCTTAGGATAGGTAGGTAGGTACAGTGAGATGATTACATACGTACCGTCTGCTATTCTCCTGGATGCCCAGCTGGGAGGGCGGGACATGTGTAGTGTACCTGGATTCTCCCGCCTACCATCGTGGGGACAGCAGGGTCTCGGCGTGGTGGTGGATTGTGATGCACCCACTACTACTGCGAAATGTCCGATTCCGCTCAGGCACAGAAAGTCGGTCCAATTTGGCAGCGAGTCGGGATGCTCGTAATGTACACCGTCCGTACACGGGCCTTTCCGGACCTTGTTTATGGCTGCCAGCCGCGATTCTTAGAGAGGTAAATTGAGTTAGGTCATATTACATATCGCCCGTCATTGCCAGCGAGGGCCGCAAAATTATGGGCGGGCGTGCATGGCACCATATTCATACATGCACAGCACAGTCAGTACATGCTTGCTTACCCCTTGCCCCCGCTGCTGCTGTCCTCCTACTCCTCCTCCCCCTCCCCTTCCCCCTTTCCTTTTCTCCCTCTTGGCCTTGGATTATGACGCTGGTCCAGCCGAGTTGGAATTCATGCTGCGCCAAACATTTCAATTTGGCGTTGAATGCCGAGGTAACACCCGCATTCAAGCGAATGGGAAGGACACTAAGTAGATAAACATGAGCATGGGCAGGCCAGGGAACGGTGCATACAGTGAATATGGCCCCAGCGCGTGTCGACTTGCATATTCCCGCCCGCGGTTCACCACTCAGTTTTCCCATGCGTCAGCAGGTTCCGGGTCCTTAGACACATGGCTGCAATCTTCGGGTGATCCACGAACATCCGTTCCTCCGCCCAGATTGGGGTGTGCTGAATCGGAGGGGGACGACATTGCGTCTCGTGGAACCCGGCAACGTTGCTGCGGCCCCGGACGAAGTCTTT